ACAATATGACGGGTATACAAGGAAGCGTCTGCAGATACCAGCAAGACCGTAACCGATAAACTTGGACGAAAGTCCCAGCAGGAGTTGATACCCGATGCTTATCGCGTAAGGCTGGTTGAAGTAGAATGGAAGATACTGTATCCAAACAATGTAATTGGTATACGGCGTCCCCATCGATATACTCGCCATAATAGTGATCAACATATGCTCTTTTCTATTAAAAGGTCCCGGATTCAGGCTATGCCGAACACCAAATACGGTGACACCAATATCAGGAAGAGCCTTCTCGAGAAACTTCCCCAACGGATAGGCCAAGAGTTGAGGAACAACAGTGCTGACACCGATCATTGGCTGCCGGATCTCGAAGAAGCTGTTGATGAAGGATACGGCGCATGAGAAGATGATGCCCACGAACCAAGCACGGATCGTGGAGCACGGCATGCTTGGGTCGTCATGGTTGCTGACTATTGCTCTGACTTCAGCATATGGAGAGTTGTGTGTGATGAGTGCTGCCTCGATCTTTATTTCCTGGATTAGAGCTTCATGGCGCTCTGGGTGTTGTAGAATATCGTCGGTATCTGTTGGAATGAGTACGTGATAGTCGAATGTTTGTGGGGTGCCATACTCAGGAATACTTCAATCTTCCTAACGACAGAGAGAGGAAAGTTGGGGTCTCTTTTATGAAGCGTATATACTCTCTTCATTGTCTGAATACTGTGAGTTTATCATCGATTCTAACCCGACATCCAAACCTACTTTGTGAACATCTTCGAGTGACAAGGTAGACGCCACCTCCCTTGCTTCAAGCAAATCATCTTGAGTTACGTCGAGATCTCTCTCAAAGCCACTATCATACCCAACTGCCTCTCGACTATCCGGAGACGGGCTGTCAGATGACTGTATACCATGTGAGAATGAAGCAAACATGCTGAAGTTTCAATACTGACTGTTTCTGTAAACTCAACCTCTGGTGTCCTCGACGGACTCTTCAACTCCTGTATCAGCTTCGCCATTTCCGTGAAACATTAATAATAGTTTACATAAACGCTGCAGATTCGAGTATGTTCTTTGACAGAGTTGGCACCGTCTGCTTAAGGTTGAACTGACTATGGCGGATACAAGTCAAGTGCCAGCATGTGTTGATCGTTGTAACATGAACCTGGAGGATGACGTCCAGCTCTACCTCAAGAGATGAGAGAAACACCTTGCATAGTAATTGGATACCAAACGACACCGCCAAGCAATGAGACACCAATGAACCGCTAAGGCCATAAGCTTGAACCGATGATCACAGGGCTTAGCCACCATGCTTATCTCGGCTTGACTGGTGGGGGATACAGTTATGCAGCAGCCCATCCATAAGGCTTACTCCATCTTGACATGATTTTACTAAGCTCAGTGCCATTATTAACGTTGATAAATGATCTACCGTTTCACAAGGAATACAAAATTTGCCACGTACTGAATATATGCAGTCAACATGCATTGGCCAGCCCTATTGGACAAGTCCACATCATCATTTCAATCTTGAGTGTCTATACCAATCATTCACTGACTACGGACTCGAAGACGAGGGCAGCTTCTAGCATGTGAATTCATATGCTTGATAGATGGGTGGGTTGACCCTTGGTAACAAGACGGGGAACGCATCAATTTCAACGAATTTACAGTTGGGATTCAATAATTACAAGTAGAGAGATGATATTGATCAACGGGCAGGGCGAAAGATTGAATGTAGGGCATTGTCACATAACGAGATACCATTCAGTTGAAGCAATTTGATTGACTGATTGACTATAAGAATCAATGAAACTTAATTAAAACACAATAACAAACCAACGAAATCCCGTGTTGGCAAAAGAAAGAAATTCCACTTTTAATCCATTATTGCATGCCGGTTTGCGCAAGAGCGATCCTCTTCCAGTGATCTCGCTCAGCTTCCAGCTTAGCAATCTTTTCCTCGAGTTCTTCCAACTTAGCAGCCTTTCGCTCTCGAGACTTTCGTGCTGCAAGGGTGTTGCGAGCACGCTTCATAGCGACGATGTCGCTAGGGTCATCGATGACGATAGGGGGCAGGGGCTTGTCACGCTTGCGGGCGTTCACACCGGCCACAGAAGAGTGACGAGTGGAAGGAGATGTACCCGACTTACGGCGACTGGGAGCAGGAGACTGGCTGTCTGAATCGACTTCATCAGACTTAAGCTCCGGTGAGTTCTCAACGCTGTTGGGTTGAGCAGGAGCAACGTTGTTGTCCTGGGGGAACAGGGGAAACCAAGGGTCTGCAGCACCATCGAAATCGGCACTGCCAAAGTTTGGAGACACATCGTATCCATCGAACTCAGGGGACTCGTTGTAGATAGATGGCGAAGTCAAGGCCGTCAGTGCGGACGAGTTAGGTGCAGACATGAAGTTGTCATGAGCAAAAAGATCTTGGGGCGAGATGGTCGCCAGATTGCCAATAGAGCTGGAAGAGCTGCCGCCAAAGTCAAAGACAGAGGGGACAGCCGGTGAAGAGAAAGCCGTGTTGGCCCCGCCATCGAAGGCGGTAAACTCCTCAGGGAGTTCGACGTCTGATATTGGTGAGCTAGTGGTTCTGAAAGGGAGATCACGGATGCACAAACCTGCAGCGTTCATCATCTTCGCGGTTTGTTGCGGGACACTTCCTGTACTCTGAGAAAAGAGAGGGACTGGAGGCCTAGCAGGGCGGTTCTGCTTGTTCAAAGCGGTAGATGACGATGGAGCCGAAGAGGCGTAAAACTGGTTCGTAGGACGGTTTACAGGGGACGAAGAATGACCAAAAGCCTGGAGCAACTGGGCGACTCGTTGATTCTGTGCAGCAGGGGAGACAGGCTGTTGGTGACGATTGTGCAGATGAGACGAGTGACGACGCTGAGATTGCAGCGAGATAGTTGACCGATTAGGGGGCTGAGGCTGATCGAACAAGACAAAGTCCAGTTGCGGTGATTCGGGACTCTGTAACTGTTGCGCGGATTGTGCCGGCAGGCTGGAATTCGTGGAGGGAAGCCATGGTGACTGGGGATCCGTGGTGAAGACTGGAAAGTCTTGGGATGAAATGTTGGCGGTTGTGAGAGAACTTGAGCTGAAGCTATTCAAAGCAGGGCTAGAGTTCAGGTCGACCGAGAGGTGAGCTGAACGGGGTGGTTGAGTGGGGATTGATGCGTTAAGGTCCTGGGACGTAATTTTGACGGAGGACTTGGGAATAACGGGGGAAGGGGGTGATTTAGAACATCTTGACGATCGCCTTAGGCGTGAAACTGTTGATGATATTGTATTGTGATGATGATTTGGGGGTGGAGAGAAAAGAGAAGAAGGAGAAGCCTCAGGACGGGAAGATGGAGACAATTTGTATTTCTCAGGCAGCAATCCCGCAAGGTTTGTGCGCTTTCGCTGTAGGTACAAGCCCGGAATAATGGGGCAGAGTCTGACACTAACAATCTCTAACCTGACCTTGATTGGGTTCGCGTTAGCAGACAACTTGTGCTCTCAGGTACTGTTCCAAAAGCGCGCCCTTCGGACAGACATGGGTCCGGGCAATGAGTCACACTTTTATACGCCAACCTTAATAGGACTGGCCGATTTCTTGAGTGCAACCAATTCTGAGACGGCGCATCCTGCGCAAAGGCACCAAGCCTCCACCATAACTAGGACTACGACTGAGTGCCAGGGTGCATTCTGCAACTGGAACATGTTGGCAAGCCTCAAAGGGGGCACCCAGGCACCTTCGGTGTGTTTGCTGCACTCTGCCACCTCACCTTGTGCCTCGTCTCTTCTCGATATGCACTCTTCCCCGTCTTTTTCGCTGTGCTGCGTTGCCTGGATGCGTGCTGGCGCAGGCTTGAACTAGCGAATGCCCGCCGTGTAAGCAACAAGCAGTGCCCCTGCATCCAAAGCCCCAATTGGCCGAATTACTTTTCCGCCCTGTTGGCTTGAGTGGCTTCTACCAATCAGCGTCTACGAACGGGTACCGAAGCCGCCATCACAGAGTTCAGATGTCCACGACAACTTACAGACCGAGTCTCTCATTACATGGACGTTGTTGCAGCAGTGAAAAGCTTACGAGGACGATGATGAAGAGGACAACGAATCCTCTTCCAGGGGCATTCGACTCGACGCAGCCGCGCATTCATTCATTCATTCATTCATGCCTCTCTGATTAGTCCATCCCAATTTTGGTGTCTCATAACTCTCATTCCGCCTTCGAGTCTGCCTCCGGCCCGTCCATCCATACAGCCACGCATCGCTGCGATGATCGGTCAAAAAAAAATGTTGGCGGCCTTTTTTTCCCTCAATAATTTCCCGATATTTCAGTCGCAACCGTCCTAGCCGACCACAATACAGTAGGTGAAATGAGAAACTGACGCATGTTTCAAGGATATCACACTGTGCCTGAAGAAATGCGTCTTTGCTTCCATATTAGTCGCGGCATCGCATTTCGTATCTGAGAACCAGGGAGACGGCCCTAACCTCGAACCATCAATAAGCTAACATTTTGCCTGCATGGGCTGAGATCGAAGGATTCAAACTGGATTCAGCCCACTCGTATTGCTATTCTGCCTTTCCACAGTGCATACATGGGATTCATGGGAATGTCCCAGCAATTCGCTATCTTTCCTACCCTCTCTGCGTATCCGTATCATGTTCCTGGTTCTCAATTGAGTTCCCAACATCTGACAACACCCTCATTGAATTGTAAACTATGGGATCCTATCACGGGCTAAGGCGCTGCGCAAAGCTAGTCTAAACAAGAAGTGGATGGTATCTTACTTTCTTACCAAGCATCTTGAGCCTTTTTCAAGGTTGTTCATGTACTTCGGACGCGCAAATGCCGACTCAATTCGTATAAGCTTCTTGGCTTGGTGTTTTGCGGAGCCACCACTTTGGGATATCGCTCGATCTTGTCCATGTTCTAATTCCGTTGTACGGAATATCTTGTTCAATTTCAACCTCCAATGCTTGATTCCTCGGCGAACCACCAGCCATTAATTCCCTAGCCTGTCCAAGAAGGAATCAGCCTGTTTCTGGGCCCTCCGTGCCGCCATATCCTCTCTCCGCTTCTCAATCTCCCGTCTCCTAGCCTCCTTCTGCTCCTCTCGGGCCCGACGCTGCTCTTCCGTCTTGCGGCGCTCTTCCGCGAGCCCCTCCATCTCCGCCGTTCGAGTCTCTTCGTCTTTGCTGAACTTGAAAAATCCCGTGCCTTTCGTGCGAATCTCCCAGTCTGCGTCGTAGTGTTGCGCTGGCGGCGGCGTTGCGCTACGGTCTCGCTTCCGCGCCAGCTCTTGCATCTTTTCCGGGTCATCGGGATTGAAGGCCATTGACTGAATCGCGTCGCCGACGATGAGATTGCTGGGTGCTGCTGGTCTTGCAGACATGCGCTCAAGCTCTTCGGCTCCTAGTAGACCTCGGCGCGCTCTACGCTCCAATCTGTCCTTCTCTGCTTTGGTAACCTTTCGTAGACGGCCAAACTCATCTTCATACTCGACCAACTCGCCGCTGTCGTCGGCTCCGTCTTCATCGCTGCTTGTCTCATAATCTTCCTTCCCTTCTTCTCCTTCCGCCCATTTGCGGTCGAAGTCTATTAGAGGCGCGGCTTCATTCTCTTTTGGAACGTAATCTCCTCGCTTCATTGCAGCGTATAGTCGTGCCTTTTCCTCCATTCTGCGCTTCGCTCGCGCTAACTCCTGAGTTTCCTCCTCTGTGCCAGTGACCTCCTTCAGCTCCAGTTTCTTTGATCCATCAGACCCTTTGCTTCGTTTTGGTTTTGTCCCTTTGAAGATGTCATCTTTTCCTTCCTTCCGAGGTCTTGCGCGGCCAGAAGATGTCCCCCCTGACGAATTATTTGACATCAGTGATGTCAGTTGAGCAGTGAAGTCGAGCGAGCTGGTTAATGCTGCATCTCGCTTTTGTTTCTTGACTGGTCGCTGACCATATAGATTCGGGTCTTGAGGCATCCTTTCCAATGTGTGCTGTGGTTTGCGTGTGTTGTGGCTGATATCGTTGATCATAGAGGAAGACAATGTTATATCACTGGCTTAGAACGAAACAGACCCATCCATAGGTACTCAGCCTGAGGCAATCATAAGGTAGTTCTCATACTTCACAAACTAAAGTACTGAAGCAACAACTTTGAGTTACTAAAATTACTACGCTTTGGCTGATCTGCCATATATCCACAGCTTTATTATCACCTATGACATCCTAAATTGATATCATGAACAAAGTGGGCTCATCAATTGATTGTCCAATTGGTTGCTGTTTAGAAGTCTCCGACGTTGTAGGGTAATCCACCGCGGGGTTATGGTGTGCTCATATCACCACCGTCTTCAGTGCCCCGCCATCGGAGCTTGACTTTATTCTTTCACAAGCTTCATAACAGTTACTCTGTACAACAGCAACAATGGCCGCTCCCAAACAAGTTTTCATTGGAATTATCGGTAATTGAAACAATAAAGCTATAAAACACCATAAACTAACACTTGTGACCAACAGGCGCCGGAGGTGTCGGTAAGGCCTTCATCGACCAGCTCCAATCCCTCGCTGCTCGGAAGCCTTCACCGAAGCTGAACCTCGCATACATTGCCACGAGCCGCAAAGCCCTATTCAACGACGACTACTCTCCTCTTGACATCGGCAATGCCGTCGACACACTTGGCTCCTCTACCAAGGCCCCTCTCGCTCTCCCTCAGGTCGTCGAGTACCTGGCCAAGGCCCCCGCCAAGAGCGTTCTTGTCGACAACACCAGCTCTCAGGATGTTGCGGAACTTTACCCTCTTGCCTTGAGCCGAGGTATCAGCATCGTTACACCCAACAAGAAGGCCTTCTCAGGCTCATACAAGTTGTGGCAGGACATCTTCTCAGCTGCCGAGTCCTCTGGAGCCCGTGTCTACCATGAGTCTTCCGTCGGTGCTGGTCTCCCCGTTATCTCCACTCTGAAGGACCTGGTTGAGACTGGTGACAAGGTTACCAAGATCGAGGGTGTCTTCAGCGGCACCATGTCCTTCCTATTCAACTCTTTTGCTCCTACCGAGGGCCAGGGTGGCAAGTGGTCTGAGGAGGTCAAGAAGGCCAAGTCATTGGGATACACTGAACCTGACCCCCGAGACGATCTCAACGGTCTCGATGTCGCTCGCAAGCTGACTATCCTTGCTCGTCTGGCTGGCATCCCCGTTGAGTCCCCCACTTCTTTCCCCGTGCAGAGCCTCATTCCCAAGGAGCTGGAGTCTGTTTCCAGCGGCGATGAGTTCCTTGAGAAGCTCCCTGCCTTTGACTCTCAGATGGAGGAGACCAAGGCTGCTGCTGAGAAGGCTGGCAAGGTTGTCCGATTTGTTGGTAGCATTGATGCTGCTTCCAAGCAGGTCAAGGTTGGTCTGGAGCAATTCGACCGCTCGCACCCTATTGCTGCTCTTAAGGGTAGTGATAACATTATCAGCTTCTACACCGAGAGATATGGAAGCAACCCTCTGATTGTCCAGGGTGCCGGTGCTGGAGGTGATGTGACCGCCATGGGAGTGACAGCTGATCTGATCAAGGTCCTGTCGCAAATTGCATAAAAGTCCATATTGAATAGCCAAATTAAAAGTATCAAGTTTGAAGCCCCAATGAGAATTCACGTATTTCCATTTCGTTGTGTGTTATCATGATTAAAGTGACGCTTTGTCTATTCCTGTTGCTATTGCAGCAGCATGTGGGTTCGTAGTGACAACGCTGTCGGGTTCGGAATCGACAGTCGAAGGTGGGTTCGTATTACTGATATTCCTCCACATCCAAAGGAAGAGGTCAAAGATCACTAGAAGAAGAACAGGTATGAATAGCATAAGACCAAGGCCGAGCTATCCGTAAATCAGTCACAAGCCCAGGGGAAACTCGGTCGATCATCACTTACACAGACAAGAGAGATCAGGTTAACCATAGAGGAGTACTCGGTCATTAGAGGACCAAAGAAGGAGTATGATGCGTCGGAGGACATCTGAGGCAATCTGGGTAGCGCTACAGCTTGCTTTGAAGTAAAAAAGCTCATGACTTGGAAACGTGTGATGTTGTGGATGGTAAAATCACAGATTCCGAGGCTGCCTTCAGGGATGGAGGTCGAAGCTCCATGACCCAATGTCCAACGAACAGGGTTTATTTCCGTCACTTAATTGGCATGTGCAAGGCCAATGCTCAGCTCCTCACACCGCCTGCCGAGTATGGATCATTCTGCCTTCTGCAAAGCTTCATTCGCATCAACTTCACAAATTATCACCAGAAATTAACAAGCACCAACTGAATAGCATCAACGGCCGTTATGACAACAGAGCTCACAAGTAAACAGAGAGCGCGCGAGAATGATCGCGCAAAGAGGACGAAAGATGGAGTCACTCAACTACCTCGCAAAAAGTTCTATCGCCAAAGAGCGCACGCAAATCCTTTCTCCGATCATATGCTAGAATAGTACGTGCTCTGCCTCATATCAATTACATTATTTCTAACTTGCTCTAGTCCTAAATCTCCAGATGACATGGATTGGTCTCCATATTTTCCACACTACGTCCAGGAGGGAACACCAGAGGATTCCTCAAAGCCTCCTAAACTGACAAAAGATGTGGAAATTGTCGATATTGGCTGCGGTTTTGGAGGTCTTCTCGTTGCTCTCGCGCCCAAGCTACCTGACACTCTCACACTCGGTAAGTGAAGTAAAATACCGTCAAATAGATATGTCTAATGTACCCAGGCCTGGAAATCCGAACACAAGTAGCAGGCTACGTTCAAGAACGTATAAAAGCATTGCGATCACAAAACTCAGACAACATGTATCAGAACGTGGGCTGCATCCGAGCAAACACTATGAAGTTTCTCCCCAATTTCTTCAAGAAGGCTCAACTATCCAAGATCTTCATCTGCTTTCCCGACCCTCACTTCAAGGCCAGGAAGCACAAAGCCAGAATTGTATCGACAACGTTGAATTCTGAATACGCTTATGCACTACGACCAGGCGGTATTGTGTATACCATCACCGATGTCGAGGATTTGCACTTGTGGATGGTTCATCATCTTGAGGCTCATCCTGCTTTTGAGCGGATCTCAAAAGAGGAAGAAGAGGCGGATGAATGCGTTCAGGTCATGTCGACTGAGACTGAGGAGAGTAAGAAAGTTACGAGAAATAACGGACAGAAGTTTGTAGCGTTGTTCCGGAGGCTAGAGGATCCTCCGTGGTAGTTGGAGGTCAATGACAACTTGATGCTTTATCGTTTCACAAGATGCTTTAAATATGCATTGAAACACTCCTGCGAACAACCTTGTGATATGGTCATAATTTATGCAGCGTTGAGCTCCAATTCAACCAATGAACCTGTGCTATTCTGCTGGCAAGTTCACAAGAAAGACCGTGTCGGCGTACTGAGAAAAATGCAAGACCATAGCATTGAGACACTTTGATACTCAGTATGAGATTATTTGTACCTGCAGGCAATCACTCGTCTCTGGCGGGTGCTGGCATGGGGTCCTTGTCCCGCAGACTTGGGCGGGCACCTTATTTTGACAGGGGTCCATCAAAATGACAGCATCCACTGTAACTAATCGACAGCCACATCACCTAACCTAACGGCACCTCCACTACCTAGCACCAGCACCGCCAACTTCACCACTTACATCCAATCCATCTTCGTTCAAGAATGTGGCTCTGAGGTCAACATCCTGGTGATGGCCCTCAAGCGTAGAGATGTCATTGTTGCTGGACTTGCCGCCTTCATAGCCTGGGGCTTCGCTGCGAGCTGGTCACCTGTCCTCCGCTGGGCAGGTCATGCCTTTGTTGCTGGCTCCCTTGTTACTCTCGTCGCCCTCTTCGCCGGTCTCTTTCTCGTATCACGACGGCCAAGCGATCGAATACTACAACCACATGGCGTTACGTTTCTAGATAGGAAGGCATGGCGATTAGAGGTGCAGGCACTGCGCCAGCGACAATCATATACTCCGACTCCAATAGACCCCGAATCACCCCGCGTTTCCGAAGCTATCGACCACTTGCTTGGTCTTATAACCCGGGACTTTGTGAATAGCTGGTACTCAAATATTAGTCGCAACCCGTCCTTTACGAACCAGGTCGATCATGCGGTGCGGCAGGCGTTGCTGAGCTTGACTGATTTCCTTCGTCATAAGGACCTGGCGGAGCTCGTCACTAGCCGTCTTGTTCCTCTCCTCACCGCCCACTTTCGAGACTTCTACGAAGCAGAGAAATCAGTACGAGGAAAGAAACTTAACCGTTCTGTTACTGAATCTGAAGAGCTGGACCTAGCTATTGCCTCAAAATTTCGCGATGGACGCCTACATCCAGCTGCTTCTTTGTCGTTTCCCGACACCAAGATGGTCCAGCAGGACTATCTCAGGTCTCTTGTCGCAAAGATTGTGCCCAAAGTACTACCTGAGAACATGTTGTCCAGTCGAGCTGTATCGATTATTATTCGCGAGATCGTCGCGTGCGCCGTTCTGTTTCCTGTCATCCAACTTCTCTCCGAACCAGACACTTGGAATCAGTTGATGGAGAATCTGGGCCGCTCAATGCTCCAGGATCGATCAACCGTGCGAAAGCTCCGGGCAGCTTTGGACCAGCATGCTCCTTCGACACCCAAAGCCAGCAAGTTAGCTTCCATGCCTAGAGTTGCCCCTGGAGACAGTGAGCGCAAGTTCGAGAAGTTTATCCGTGCTATTCGCAAGGTCAATAACCTATCAGATGCACGTCGTTTTCGTAGCGAAGTCGCTAGTCAACTGAAGCGGGATTCTCTCGAAGACAATCAAGACCAGGTCTACCTTCGTCGATTGGAGATGGGAAAGAGGCTGCTGGACCAACGGGTTAATCATCTTGCTGCAGGTGGCGAGCGTCGTCCACCTGGTCCTTTGCCTTTACCATCGACTTCTTCACAGTCCAAGCTAGAGAGTGCGCCACTGGTAGATATTCTGCGAGATTCTTCAGCGCTTTCTTACTTTATGGAATATATGGATCGGCAAAATCTCATGCCTTTAGTGCAGTTCTGGCTTGTTGTTGACGGATTTCGAAACCCTCTAGAAGATGATGGCCCAGATGACGAACTGCCATCGACCCTGCCAATGTGGACAGATGCCGACCGCCAGGATTTACAACAAATTAACCAGGCCTATCTCTCGAGGCCAGAGTTAAAGGTCCCGGATCATTCGAGGAATGAAGTCAAGGACTTCATCAAGGCAGGAAAGTCAGCCACCCCCTTACAATACTATAGAGCGAGGCGAGCTATCTTGAAGGCCCAGAGCGCCGTCCTTGAGGAAATGCGGTCACGCTTCTTTCAGAGTTTCAAGAAGTCGGATCTATTTTACAAATGTCTTGCAGCTGAAGAGGCAGCCAATATTCAGACTCTCAGATCGACACCACAGCCAGAAGTACAAATACAGGCGCAGGCGCAGACACAGGCATCGACAACCAACCGTGCGAGCAAGACTTTGCCAGCAAAGCCAAGACCGGTATCGCGACTGACGCCCCAATTATCCAATGCTGGGAAACGCACGGGATCCGCATCGGATCTTAAATCTTTGACATCTAATGGTAATGGGCATGGGCATCGAGCCAGGCGCTCGTTAGACGAAGGCTCTTTGAATCCTCTATTCGATGACGATGACATCGATACTGATGGACTAGGAGATTCTGTCCAGAGTCTAGATCCAGAGACGAATAGCCAGCAACTTCCAGATACCCAAGTTGTTAAGGCAGTAGAACAGGCCTTTACCGATATCATGGAGGATGATCGTCCTCAAACTGCTGAAGCTCTCCGTGCCTCCCTTTTCGGCGGCCCCGGCGGCAGTAGTATTGGAGGCATTGATGATAATGCATCAAGTCTCTTCTCAGGCAATGACAACGACTCTCATCGTGGCTCTCTGGATATGGGTATTCGACCTGCTATGGCGAACAAGGAAGGCGACAAACCGAGCCTTTCGTCGCTTGGTCTCGTCAGTGCGGCTTCACGAATCGGTGTTTTCGTGGACGACGATCTGTTTGGCGATAACAACAAAGATCTCCCTGACGACGGTGATCCGGATGACGGGCCACCGCCTGATGACGAGGATGAAGTGCATGAAGCAGCACCTGGAGACCTTGGATTGGCAGAAGCCATCACTGCTCTCTCAAACGACATCGATCGCTTGGTGGCGCAGGAAGCGGTTGTGGAATCGTTGACGCGAAAGGCAGAGTTGACAAACAATACTGCCGAGCTGCGCATTCTTAGGAAGTCCAAAGCGTCTCTACACAGGGAGATCAGGCGCAAGGAGCTCCAACGGCAGCAGTACGTGATCCAGGAGAGCGACAACAGTCTCTACGGCCGCTCAACCATCAAAATTAAGTCTATCCAAGTGGGGAGAGAAGAGGATGGTCGAGAGTTTGCACTCTATGTTATTGAAGTCCAGAGAAATGCTGGAGAGCAGATGCCTGCAGCTTCATGGGTAATTTCGCGGCGATACAGCGAGTTCCACGAGCTTCACCAAAAGCTGCGGTCCCGATACCCTTCAGTTCGAAATCTTGACTTTCCTCGGCGGCGAATGGTGATGAAATTCCAGAGCGAGTTTCTACGCAAACGACGGACTGCCCTGGAGCAGTATCTAAAAGACCTACTTCTTTTACCAGAAGTTTGCCGCAGCCGAGAACTCAGAGCCTTCCTTTCACAGAGTGTAATCACCCAAGGGCAAGATATCTTGGATCACCAAGACAAGAAGGACATGATGACTCGTTTGTACGACTCTGTTGCGGATGGAATGGATGACATACTTGGAAATATTCCTGTACTGGACCAGATATCTGAAGCTGGCCAGAACCTCATTGCAGCGGCTACTAACCAGCTCAACGCGGTTCCTCTCAATGTGAACGAAGATACGTTTCCAGCCGCTGAAGCTGAGGCAGAGCTGAATGCATTTGAGAATAAGGAACTTGAACCGTTCATCAAACCGATTTGCGACATCTTTCTTGAGATTTTTGAGCTCAACAAGGGAAACAATTGGCTCCGTGGGAGAGCGGTAGTAGTTGTTCTGCAACAACTTCTTGGTGGTACGATTGAAAGAAAAGTGCGAGACAATGTCAAGATGCTTGTTCAAGACGAAAACATTCTCAAATATATTGGGTTGGTGCAAGATAGTCTATGGCCTGGAGGCGAGTTTCAACGAGATCGCAAACCACGAACAGCTGCCGAAAAGAAGAAGACGCGGACTGAGGCGAGCTTGATGCTGGCCACATTGGTGCCAGATCTCGCAGGTAGTGTTGTTGGAAGAGTCAACGCTCAGACAGCCAGCCGTCGTATATTTGCGACGTTGAACAACTCGAGGTTGAAGTAAGTCTTTAATTTCGTCGCCGACTTGTGTATGAGCTAAACTAACCCATCTACCTATAGTGCACACCTCGTATTTACTATGATTGATGAAATTATCTCGGTCCTTTTCGAAGAAGGGTAGGGCTATGGAAAAAAGATCTTGTTATTCTTCTTCACAAAGCACATGCACATGATACGGGACAAAGCACAGCACAGCACAGCACAGCGAGGCGTTGGGCGTCACTGACAAGGGAGTCAAGTTGGGCTGATACGACGATGAATGGATGACGATGATGCGGGATTGGGCAACATGAATGACTTATGGTTTCGTAATGAAGAAGACTCTTTTTTGGAGGGGGACTGCTTAGGTATTGTTATAGATGTCTACTCCATGTATAATTTGCTGTTGATAGATGGCCATGAAGTAATAGTAATGACAATGACAATGAAAGATTCTTATACGAGGTGATCAGGTCACGATTGGATCGTATTTTACATGTGAGTTGCAGTAACGTTGTGTTCCATTAGTTATGTAGGCTTTAATGCAGGCGAAAGCGTTCGCATGTGACGCTAGCGAAGCAGCTTCAGCGCCCGAGATAGCGGGATCCGGGGCACCTTCTCGATCTGGCCATTCTGCCGTGTTCTGCCGCCTTCTGGCCCCAGCCTTTTCGTCGCGTTTTAGGCGAGTCCTACCCATGCCTTAGTAACTAAGGCAAGCTTGCCTTGCGCCCATGTTCTCTTTCCATTCTCCTCTCCACCAAACTCAGCGTCGCTTTTCGTATCATCATCATCATCAAAGTCAATCCTCGTCCAAAAACCGCCACCTTCCCAAAACCCCGCGTTTTGACTCTGGCTCTTTTGTTGGTCCCATCGCGTGACTGGCCCTGGACATTTAATCTGGAATCTCCCTGGCTTTGATCCATATTCGACTTTCTGCTCTGTTCCTCTCTCCATCTGGATCCCCCTCTTGCTTGACCCGACGACACGACACTCCTCCCAGCGGCAACATGACGGAGGTATCAGCCACCCGGCTGTACTTGGGAAACCTCCCTCGCAATGGTCCGGATTCATCGCCCTGACGCTCTCAGTCAAACCACTGACCTGCTGCCCAACAGCTACCAAATCCGATGTCGAGGCTCACTTCGCGACTCACGGTACCGGAGAAATCACCGAGGTTAAGCTCATGAATGGCTTCGGTTTCATCGAGTACAAGGACCCCATGGATGCCCGTGATGTTGTACCGGGTTAGTTATCCCCCCTCACCTTTTTTAATGCGACGCGCTTGCTAATGATCCGTCTAGCCTTCCGTATGTCACCACCAGACTCCTCCCCTCCTCCCTGGCTAACGTGCGACTTCGAAAGATGGCTCTGATTTCATGGGAGAACGACTCACTGTCCAGTTCGCCCGCGGTTCCCGGCATCGCGAGGGCGGTTTTGGCAACCATGAGCGCACCGCGCCACGGCCTCGTCGAACCCCTCATCGAATGCAGATTACGGGACTTCCAAACGATACCTCTTGGCAGGTCTGTTCAATCCTCCCCGTTGCTCATCGCTGGATTTCCTGGACCCTCCCCTTGTGATTTGCGCGCATCTCTGGTTTTTCTGGCTTCGACCCATTGGTACTATACCGGGACTAGGTTTAGGGGACAACTTCCACGGACCCCTCCACCCCCTCTCCCGGTTTTGCTTCCTGGTTGTTGACTTGGCGAACTGCACTATCATTTTGTGGATTACATGGACTTCCGGCGTTACCCTTCCTGGACAGCAACTTACGTGGATTCTGGAAATAGGATCTCAAAGACTTTGCGCGTCAGTCTAGCTTGGACGTTGTCTATTCTGAAACTGGTCGCGACTCGAACGGCCGAGGGTGAGTGGCTGCTTGCGCACTGTACTATCTATCTTGGAGGCTAACGTGGACCAGTTTCGTCGAATTCGAGACTGCAGCAGACCTTAGAACGGCTGTTGAGAAGCTCGACGGGCGAGAATTCAAGGGCCAGCGAGTCCAATGCGTTGCTGACGTATGACAAGGAAGCCCCCTCTCTTTGTAAGAACTCGAGTCTGACATAACCTTCTAGACTCAGCCGGACATGCCTCCTCGCGAGCGTGGTAGATCCCGCTCCCCAGGACGTCGACCTTATCCTCCTCCCGTGGACGACTACGATCGGCGCGGCCCTCCCCGCGGATACAGTCCCCGCGGTGGTGGTGGTGGTTACGGCTACCGGGATCGTAGTCCTCGTCGCGATTACTATGATGATCGCGCCCGGTATCGATCTCCTCCTCGCCGTCCTATGGAGGACTATCCTCCCCCTCCCCCTCGCGGCCGCTACGATGACCCCTATCGGCGCGACTACCCTCCTCCGCCCGATCCCTATGCTAATGGGCGACCTCCCTATGACCGACCCCCTCGAGACTTCCCTCCACGAGAGGGCGGATACCCACGAGATGGTGGTTATCCCCGAGACTATGATCGTGGTGGACGCTACTGGTAAATCCATATCCCATTACCGCTTTGGGCGCTTGCTTGGCGGGACTGTCCTTGACCGACGGTGTTAGATCTACTCTCAACCGAATGCGCTAAATGGCGTGAAACTTTGACGACCAGTCATGAGGTAGGAAGGACAAGATTGAAACGATCGACAGGCAGATATGCGCAACAATGATTGACGACCGACTGGTGATATTCTCAACGAGCAAACCCAAGTATGAGGGACATTAGGATGGCGTCAGGTGTAGGGGTTGGAAGACTTGACGAGGGTTGACGGGAACCGGGAAAAGCCACGGGCGCACACGACATGAATGTCTTGGGTAATATGAACTATAGTGTATGACTATGAGGAAGCCGTCGTGGGTGAGGGTTTGCTTATTTGCTTTTATTTTGTCTTATACTATATATAACCTGGAGGAAGATTTTGGGACCACTCGGTAAGAGTCGTTATTTGCTAGGTAGTTTTTGCTTTTATCACAGAAAAGGGTCAAAATAATCCAACTTTTGTTTTGTATTGTTCAAGTTGACATGGCATTACTGCACAACGAGTGAATCTGAGACTCGTGATTTACTTTGGACAACAACCCAACCGTGTCGCCCCCGTATAGTACAAAAAGAAAGATGCCGGACCGAACAGAGAACAGTTTGACGCGCTTTATAAGGAATTACGAAGGGTGTATAAATATGGTATCGGGTATTGTTGGGATTTGGTTTGTGTTCAAGATTAAGCAGTCTTCTTCCATTGGGTGTAGACACCGATGACACTGCTCAAGGTACCAGTAAGACCAACGATGCCGTCATCGAGGAAGGATACCCATCCGAGACCGGAGACGGGAACGAGGATATCGCAAAGATCGCAGAGGAGTTGCTTCTTGGCGGCAGCGCGCTCACTAAGGTATATGTTAGTACTAATGATAGGAAGGCAAATGAGCGCATGTGAAACTTACATGGAGATGGTCTTGCTCTCGACAACACCCTCACCCTCCTTGAGATCAACCTTTGATGCGCGCACGCTCAGCTGTCGCAGAGTGTACAGCTGACCAATGATGCTAAAGGCGATACCAATAGCCCAGGATCTATAAGCCTCCTGCTGAAGGCGCTTGGCATGCTGCCACTTCCTGATACCGGCAGCATCAGGGATGGTGAGAGCATCGCAGGTGAGGTAACCAGCATAGCCCAGCTGGCGACCGACCTGGGTGTACTTGAGGACGGGGTCGAGGGACTTGGAGTCGGAAGCTGTGGCAGCGGCCTTGTAGTGCTCGACGAACTTTCCGGCTCGGAAGACCTTTCGGAACAGGCCGAACTGCTTCTTGAGGGTGTTCCAAGGGGCGACCTTGTCGGGGGTTGCGTTTGTGCGGAGGAGATACCAGGCGTAGAAGCGGGCGAAGTACTGAAGAACTCGCATGAGCTTGTCGCGACCGAGGGTTGTGGCCATGTAGCGCAGGTAGTGCGCTACCGTGGGGTGGTAGACGAGAGCATCAGCGACCATGATGGCGATGGTATCGAGAATATGTGGACAGAGAGAGTATTGATAGTATGCGACAGTTGGAATATACGAGAATTACGATTCACCAGTAAGAAACCCGCAATTACTGATGGGAAAGAGGAAGATGGAGATGGAGATGCAAAAGTTAAGTTAAGTTTTTACCAGGAACGGGTAAGAAAAAGCTGGGGAAAGGTAAGGTAAGTAACGCGAATGGAGTCAAAGAGTCTGGAGTAAGGTAACGCAAGTCAAGTCGAAAGAGAGAGAGAGAGATTGAACGTGGAGACGGAGACTTGACCGAGATGCCGAGGTCCGCCGCTCACGAGAGCGGGATAGTTCAAGGGAAGAGAGAAGAGAGATAAGTTAAGTTAGGGAGGGATAAGGTCAAGGAGATCTCCTGCAAAAGAATTGCCTTTTTGGGCATGGGAATAATTGCCGTTTATGTTGGAAATTCGATAGTTTATACTGTGGCATCGGTGTTCTATCCATTCAGTCATTGCTCAGTATTAAAGGGATGACGACCCTGCCAACTTTGTCAACCTCCATCACAGACAAAGGGAGCATCCAAAGTTGAGGTCGACAGCCGGCACATGTCCGAGGCTTCATCAGGAGAATACCAGACTTCGGGGTAGCTTGGCGCCAATTCTGGCAATGCATTTCAACCTCGGGGACTTTCCGTAAGAGATTGGACTCACTCTCTAACCTTGAGAGTTACAGCTGAACTGGCTGACAGCTGATAGAGAGAGAGAGAGAAAGGCAGAGTGTGGAAGCTCCCGGCTGACCGGATAACCTTTGATCCGACTCCGGTCTTCCGTCAGAGACGAAGGAGTCTAGGTTAAGTTACGGGGACATGGATGCATGATATAAGTCGAGTCGAGACTCACTCACTCGCAGCTCACTCAATCAATTGCCTCATAACCCCAAATCAAGGAATGAACAAGGAATGAGATAAGGCATCTGAGATCCCAATTTGAGATCCCAATTTTCCATCCTCATAAAATCTCCCCCCCAAACCCACAATGAGCATATCACTCGGTGTTTCTACTGAAGATCTTTGGAGACGTCGATGTTCAAAACCCCCGCTTAAACGTCAATATGAGCGAGCCACCCCCACCGGGACAGGAACAGCGTGGCAAGGCCTGGAAATAGAGGGTCTCTCAGTGGCTGTGACGACAGGAATCGTGATGCTGCTCGGGGAACAACCCCCGAAGTCTACTGTACCTTACCTCCAAATTCGACCACTTGTAATATTGTGGGGGAAGAAGTCGGAGTTGGAGACCCCGGGAAATCCTCTTGAGCCGCTTCCGCTGGCCGGCAAAAGCACCAGTTCCCTTCGGGAGCCCGCTATCAAAGGTCACGATGGCCCATGACATTCCGATATGATGCGCCCCCAATGGAGCTTTTTACGTATCATGGTTGGGTCTTAGTTACTTAACCCGCAACAACATGACCGAGACTCTGAGAGGACGTAGAGACAAGTCTCTCGCGGATGGGCCCGTTGATAACCCCAGTCGGTTAATGAAAGTATGAATGGATATCATTGATCGTCATATCCGTCAATTGTCGTCAAGACACGGACGGACGCGGTATCCGTAGTCAACGTACGGTACCTACATAGAAACTGTATTCCTTTACATAACTGGTCCCGTTTCCCCAATATTCGTCGCGTGCCTCTTCCTTTTCTTCCTCTCTCTCTCTTCTTCTTTCATCCTTCTCTCTCACGATACCCTCATACTATTCCCATCATACTTCTTGTCTCTGCCGGCTTAAACCTTCTCCCGGTCTAAGTCAACCCAAAGCCGCTTCTCCAACTGCCCCTCCCGACGGCGATCTCAACCAACTTTCTCCTCCTTTCATACCTATCCTCCCCTCACAAAACACAAATTCACAATGGCTACTACAAACAGCGGACAAGAAACCGAAAAGGTTAACACTAACATTGTTACCCTCACCCGCTTCCTCACTGAGGAGCAGGCCAAGCACCCAGAGGCCACTGGTGACTTCACGTACGTCGTCCGTCCCTTGTGACCTCAACTTCATGATGCCCGGCTAACAACGGAACCCAATCTCAGTCTATTGTGTCACGCTCTCCAGTTCTCCTTCAAGTCAATTGCCTACTACATTCGACGCGCTACCCTAGTCAACCTCACCGGTCTGGCTGGTTCTTCCAACATCACCGGCGACGACCAGAAGAAGCTCGATGTCATCTCCAATGACCTCTTCATCGAGGCCATGCGCTCATCAGGCAAGTGTGCGCTCCTCGTCTCTGAGGAGGAGGACGAGATCATCTACTTCAAGGATGCTCATGACGCTCACTACGCCGTCGCTTGCGATCCCATTGACGGATCTTCCAACTTGGACGCCGGTGTCTCAGTCGGTACCATTTTCGCTATTCACAAGCTCCCCGAGGGCTCCAAGGGTGTCAAGGAGGATATCCTGAAGCCCGGTACTGAGCTGCTCGCCGCCGGTTTCACCATGTACGGCGCCTCTGCCCAGCTTGTCATCACTATGCGCGGTGGAACCGTCAACGGTTTCACTCTCGACAACGGTGTTGGCGAGTTCATTCTGTCTCACCCCGACATGCGCCTCCCCAAGTCGCGCGCCATCTACTCCGCCAACGAGGGTAACTCTCTGTACTGGGAGGACAAGACCATCAACTACTTCAACTCTCTAAAGCAAGCCCAAGACGACGGCAAGCCCTACAGCGCGCGATACATCGGTTCCATGGTTGCCGATGCTTACCGAACTCTGCTCTACGGAGGTATCTTTGCTTACCCCGCCGACAAGAAGAGCCCCAAGGGCAAGCTCCGTATCCTGTACGAGTGCGCGCCCATGGCTCTCATCTTTGAGAATGGTACGTCAATTGATTTTTCTTAGTGATCAACACTTTACTAACTAACTATGCTTAGCTGGTGGTCAAGCTGTCGACAGCAAGATGAACCGTATGCTCGAGGTGGTGCCCGAGCACATCCACGACAGGGCTGGTATCTTCATGGGTAGCTACGACGAGGTCGAGAAGGTGAAGAAGTTCCACAGCTGAGAGGGAAATCAAAGAGAATGGCGCTTTGGCATGGGATCATGAAATCAGTTAAATATCAAAAAGCGAACCTCATGAGTGAATGAGCATTTTAATGATGAATTTATCATATCTTCCATTTTTCTGAGCGTCATGCAGAGTGTCGTCATGATGAGAAGTCATGATCGTGAGCCATCATGAAGGCGGTTTAACTGGGGACGTCACGCCACCTCGACTGTTCCATTAGAACGAGATGCAACGCCTTCTTTAGTCTGCCTCTATGGTAAAAATTGTTGCCTTATCAAGCTTTTGTTCACTCTGGTTGGTATAGAGTTTCTTGGTCAATATTCGTCTCTCGACAACTAAATTCAAGCACATCAACCATGTAGAGCTTGAGCTACTCCTCTCCACAACGTATGGCTCTAGGCTGTATAATTACTCCGACACCGGTATGCCTGAGGAACTGGGGACTTATTGCTCGGTACTCAATAGGCCGTGTGGCTAAAATGTTTGCAACGATTGCTCTTAGTGTAGCTTGAGGTCTCTCTGTATTCTCATTCTTATGAACTGATTACCTACCAACCCGCATAGTTTTCCTTGATCGTTGACATTCTACATTCGCTCAACAGGCGAAGCAGCAAGTTGAATGACACAATGAGAGTCCTCTTTGGAGATGTTGAAAGATAGTCATTATAAAGAATATGAGTTAGCTGTAGGATTTAACTTCGACTTCAGGGACTCGCTGTCTGACGGGGTGAGCCTTGTGCCTTTGCAGTCGTTTGTGGTCATTGCGTCTAGTATCCAATATCCGGGTATTCCAGTTCATAAAGGAATAAGGTGCTTCAATTTTAGGCAGCTGGGATACTACATTCAAAATTTAATATTATTTTCTCTATGCCCTCGGATGCCTTACTCCCGAAATGCAAAAGCTTCCCTTCCACAACCTGAGGATGATCACCAGCTAAGGCGATGAATACTTGTACCCAAACTGCTCCTTAGCCTTGTCAACAACCTCCTTAAGCTCTGCACGTTTTCTCCTCGTCTCTTCATCCACAGGATCCAATCCAGTCGGCTTGTCTTTACCACTCGGGAGTAACAAGCCCCGCTTCACAGCAGGCCGCTCAAGTATACGAGAAAGCCATGCTTTAACATTCGGGAACTGATCAAACGAAATTGATGTGCCTGGCAGACGGTCTGTCCAGCCGACCAGGGCAATATCTGCGATGGAGTAGCGACCTCTACCGGGTCCGACGATGTAGTCCCGGTCTGCGAGACGCTTGTCGAGGACACCAAAGAGACGCTCTGTCTCACCAACATAACGCTGGATAGCGTATGGTATTTCTGGCTTGACACCAAGGAAATGAAACGCCTGTCCTTCCCTGCTGATGTGTAAGTGTACCGCCTTGATGTTGATGCTCATGACTTACATCGGTCCAATTCCGCCATGCTGCCAACCAATCCACGACTCAGCACGAGTATAGTCATCGTCGTCAATCTTGAACGATAACTTATGCTCTGGATCATATTTTCTTGTCAAATAGCTTAGTATCGCATTGCCTTCAAAGACAGCGAGATCGTTGTTGTCATGGTCAACAAGAACAGGGATACGCCCATTGGGGTTGATGGCAGTGAACCAAGGCTCCTTTTGAACATTGAGTCCAATGTTGATGCCTTGGATGGTGTAGTCTAATCCATATGCGTCTCGGAGCTCTTCAAGAAGGATATGGGCCTTGACGCCGTTGGGTGTACCCCAGCTGAGGAGCTCAATGCCCTTGGAGGCGATGAGGCCAGTCGGTCGAGCCATTGAGTAGCTGCGTTTAGGAATTATGGAAGCAGATCTGAGTGTGTAATTGTGGTTTCGAGAAAGCTGTGATCTACAAGATAGAGTAGAACGAAAGGAGAGAGATATATAGGGCAGTTTCGTGGTTGAGCGCATCGTCATTGAGCGTCGGAGGGACGTCATTTTTGCAGTATAATTACCAATATCGTGACTCCGGGACCGACAAATCATCAATTGGTCATTTTCTCTTTAGGTTTCACAATTCTTCTCTCGCAATGGGTTAGGTTTGCTGCACGATGTTGTCTAGAGAGTTTCTGGCGTTCGGAATGTTTACTCATCCACGAAGCTTTGTAATCTTGATTACCCTATAATGTGGAATCACCCAAACGCAGAGACGTTTTTCGATGGCTTGCATTTCAAAGCGCAGCTAATGCAGCTTCCGCGGAATGAATGTCCTCGTGGTCCAGCCATGCTCAGAACCTGCATCAATGATAAAGCGATTCCATGCTGTTATTTGTTTGGCTCCGGTGGTTGAGTTGCAAGTAATCGGCACATCCAATTCCTCAGGGGGCGCTGAACGGATGGCCCAAGAACCAGCCGCAGTATGCACCCTCAGATCATTTTCAACTTGCCTACCAACATCCTCTCTTTCAGCTTATTTGTCATTCTAGTCAAATCTTGCATGAAACAACCAACAAAAGCATTGGCACCAAAACACAATGAGTGGGACAACCGCGCGGTAAACGACAGAATACGCCTCGCACGTTTCGATTTTACATTGGCCCCATTATCATGGCGCAATACGCAAGAAATGTCAAGGGATCGGCCCGTTGTTTCTCATGAGATCCTCTCAAGTATTGTTCAGGGTAGGTCCCAGATTAACGGTTGAGCTGAGCTGCGCACGGGTGGAATAGTTTCATGTAAATGAGAGAGTGTACTCAGTGGATACATACAGGAGGATACTACAGCAGCACCAGCATCTACGCAGCAAAGATGTTTATGGTATTTCGTGTAAAGTTCTGTTGGGTTTGTCGTTGCAACCGTAACCCTGCGGGTGATCCTCCGATCCTTCTCGTGGTGGAGTTGCAGTTGGTGTTGGGCTGTGAGGTGATGAGTCAAGGGTCCCCTTTTGATCGCCGTGAGCTTTACCCCAAGAGATATCTAGACGCCCGCGACAGTTACTCTGACAGAACTACACTCCCCAGAGACGAGAGCCTGGAATCAACAATCTAGGACTTTCTTGAGCCTCGAGAATAGCACTTGACGCGTCGTCATCAGTGCCTCAATCACAATACGACGAATGCAATGTTGCATCCAAACTCGCAACTAATCAGATGCAGACTCAACGCCCAGAGCATAGAAGCGCCTACGTCACTATCATGAGGTGCTAGCATCAATGAAATTGGGTTCTGACTTGTTTGGTCTGCGGAGCGCCCGCCTCAAAGCCAAGTTTCCCCTTCCCCACCCACGACGACGAACGAGACCACTTAGCCTTGGAGCTGACGCCTGATGATACTGTAGGTACTGCACCCTTGGAACCGGTAGCCAATGCTCTTTGAGCATGGCCCTGCAAGTCTTGAGTTCCCTGGGAATAACACAAACACCACAGCCCCTACCTCGATATCCTGTCCAGCCTATTTACCCGCTCTGACTTACACCGAACTAACTGACTGACTGACTGACTTCATCACCCATTGGGGGCCATGCAATGCAGAACTCTACAGCACATACAGTGAATCATTCTAGGCGAGGTAATCCAAGAACCGGAAAGCAGGGAAAACACTCTCTAAAGCCAGGTTCTTGATCGACCGTTGAGAAAATCCCCGACAGGCTCGCGCTTAGATCTGTGATGTGACGTCTTTTCATGCCGCGGGGTCCTTAACTCCAGTTCCCATATCTAAACTCCATTCAAACGGTTTCCCCTCCCTTGACGATGTCTTCAAGACTTGTTCTTTTTCAGAAGCGGCACAATGGACACAGATGCAGACATGCGGGATGTCTGCACGTCTGAAGGATTCAAGCCGCTGATGCACTTTTGCACTTTTGCTTTGACCTGGACGCAAGACTTGGAAGTTGGCTCTTCACCAACATGTCTCACAGCGGCTGGTTTCACCCCAAAAGAGTAATTCATACTAGGTAGGTTAGCTGCCAAGGGTTCTCTACTCACCATAGCGGACTACCCTTTCGTCCTTCTCGTCCCGCCTTAGCTCTGAAACCTCAGTCAAAGGCACTCTGGCCAACATGTGCTCAGTGGCATAAACCGTCTTTCCTTGAGTTCCCAGTCCAATCTCATTGGCACTTTCGCCTATTGAACTATACTCAGATTAGTTGTTCAACTTATCGGAGATCGCCAAGTAGTACCTTGGTTGTCGGACTAACCAGCCTAAGCACCGGACGGCATTGTCGTGGCTTCGGCTGACGGCACCGCTAAGATCCGTCTCTAGACTCTGAACCGTAGGCGTGAAGTCAATATTCATCACAAAGCGGCCGGTCAGTGGAGCGAGCGAGCGAGTTTCGATTCGTCAAATGCGTATTCGTCGTAGTTGTCGTATTAGATCAATGGGCAAATAGTGAGTCCAAATAAGGCTCGCCGGTTCAAAACGCTCGAAACCTTGGAGTGCCATGGCGCCGACAAAAGCGCCTGGCACTAAACCTGGGTCAACAACGTCTCAAGAAGGCATTTCAAAGATTCAGATTGGTAATCAAACCACCAGAGATCATCAAGACATGTGATGCAACGGCATTACAAAGAAAGTCCGGCACTTCTGAGGGCTGCTTCGGTGTTGTCCAGCCCTGTTGGTGTATTCAGTTTAGACGGGAATAAGTCACATTTCACGCCCACCTGTCGTTGTATCGCAGAGACATTCGATATGTCGCCATTCCTGGGGAAGCGGAACCGTCGAGTGAATGCCGCAAGGATAAAGATAGAAAAGGCGGAATCACACGACGGGAAAGTCAATCTGTACTGCAGAGCACAGTAGCGGCCCCCAGACGTGGAGGCGCAAGATAACCTTTCGTGCGAGTGTGTAGTCTAACTCAGTAACTGCAAAGGGCAAGATGTGAATCATAACGAGTATGCCTCATCGGTCAAAGCCGAAGGGAGACCAGAGAATGAGGGACTCGTGTGCAACATACGCAACGAGGCAGAATAATGAGAGCGAATGCGAGAATTGGGAGTGAATACGGGGTCGAGCTGAACTGAGTACGAGCTTGAAGAATAGGAGAAAAGTATTATGATTCAAGG